GCGAATCACTATCTAAAATGCTTCATGCAGTCGACTTCCCCGACTAGGATCGTAGGCAGAAAGACTAGCCGTTGTACCTTCCTCACTGCTGGGCCTCTCCTCTTCAAGTGCTGGGAAGCGGATTTCACCAATGGCGAAGGCACTGATGGGAGATCTCACCTCGCCCATACTGTCAGCATGAAATGTGTCCTTATGTAACACCCCGGAGGAATAAGGTACTCGACCTATCTCTCCTGCTGCAGAACTTGTAAGACGCTCATACGGGAAATGCGCTACACCCATCCTGACCATAGGGAAACTCCTCCCCATAATACCATAATACTTTCGGCATTGTTTACCCTTTATTGCCCATTTTTCGAAATTGAGGTCTGATTGTGAACGAAATTTCTCATATTTGCACATTTGGAGGACCTCTTGTTGACTCCATAAACAGAATCTCACATCGGACATCACATATTAAAACGAAAGGGCTCGGCGCTCGCACCGCAGGTGCCAACAACACCTGGCGCTGGTGTGTATGGCGTGAGTTCCAAGCATTTCCACTCCAATTCGATGAGATGAGTGAGATGCTGGTGTTTAGGGAGTCGCATTACGACTAGAACCCATAAAAATCGATCAAACCCTGGCCAAAATTCGAATTATTCCCAGGTAGAAAAATGTGCTCATCATTTAGGGAATCCGATCTCAATGCTTCGCTTTCAACGTTCAACGTCAAGTTTGCACTGGAGCCTCAGACAAATGCAATGATCGATGAGTAAGTCATTTTAAATGAGAGGTTGGGTCACGTAGCATTGACTGCTGTGTACGTCTCGTCCTGGGTAGGGCACGGATAAGATGTACACAGCAGCCAATGCTAAGCTCCGCCCATTGTGGGCGGGCATGTACATTTATAATTCCATCCATCGATTACGTGCATTAAGGTAATGATCGAAAGTGTGAAAGAAGTTTTCTGCAAACTAACAAAAATATTTTAGAGCTTTCGACTTCATTCGGGGCGTGAAAGAGCACAGCAGTGTCCGCACAGTAATTCTCGTCGGTGTGAGGTGCGAATGTCAATAGAGTTAGCTAACACGGGGATTGCATTTGAAGGGGCTTCCAGAGGAGGCTCTTTTTCGCAGAATAATGTTTCTTTTCAGTATTGTTTTACCTGAAATTTTCAGTGACGCATATGTTCAAAACGCGCAGCAAAGTGCTAAGCAACTAGCTGCCGAAGGTTACAGTATCTTCACAGTGTCCATAGGTAATGAATATGTTATATTGAAGTGATCAAAGGTCCATTAAAGCAGGAGCCTACACGTTAGCTTAATAATCGCGAATTACTGTTCAATAAAGTCGGCTTTGAAGCGCTAAAGGAGTAGAATAGTATGATCCATGGGGTAGTACATATGTTACAAGTGGTTCTGTTTACCGGGGGTCAAGTCCCGAATATTTTGCCGCCCAGGTTTATGGAGACTTCCACCGGTGAGCGATCGGTTCATTGGTACGAGGGTCACCTGAAAGTCAGGTAACGCTGACTTCAACTCTCTAT